GGCCAAATGAAGACTTTGTTACAGACCAACAAAGATGGAGAGAATTCATAGACAGCAAACTTCTACTACAGGAAATAATTGAAAAAATTCTCCCAGCTACTCGGGAAGCTAAGGCAGGAGGCACAAGGATCTCTTGAGCCCGGGAGTGTGAGGGCCCAGTGAGTTATGATGAGGCTGCTGCACTATAACCCGGGGATAGAGTGAGATCCGGCCTCAAAGAAAAGAAAGAAAGGAAAGGAAAGTAGGGAAGGAAGGAGAAAGAAAGGAAAAGACAAGAAAGGGGGAAGAAAGAAAGAAAAGAAAAGAAGGAGGGAGGGAGGGAAGGGAAGGAAGAGTGCTGGAAATGGTAAACATGGGGGCAAATACGGAAACTTTTTCTCAATTTTTAACCTTTTCAAAACATAATTGAGTTCTTATAAAGTTAATCATACACTTACCACGTGACCTAGCAATCGCATTCCTAAGTATTTACACAAGTGAAATGGAAATGTGTGTTCACACTAAACTCGATACACACTGTTTATATGTGTCAGAACCTTGGCCAGGCATTGCGGCTGGTGCCTGTAGTCCCAGCTACTTGGGAGGCTGAGGCAAGAGGAACCGCTGAAGCCCAAGCGTTTGGGGTTGATGTGAGCTGTGACACCAGGACACTCTACCTAGAGTGACATAGTGAGACTCTGTCTCAAAATAAAATAATAAGTGCCAGAACCTGGCAACAGCCGGAAATGTTCCTGAACTGCAGAACATGGACAAATAGACATGCCATGGTCTGTTCATACAAGGGAATGAACACAATCACGGACACAATTCACACAGTCAATACACCCGGTAACATGGATGAATCCCAACTGCTGAAAGGTGTCAAACTCAAAAAGCTGCCTGCTGTGTGATTCCTTTTCTTTCTTTCTTTCTTTCTTTCTTTTTTTTTTTTTGGAGACAGAGCCTCAAGCTGTCCCCCTGGGTAGAGTACTGTGGCATCACAGCTCACAGCAATCTCCAACTCCTGGGCTCAAGCGAGTCTCCTGCCTCTGCCTCCCAAGTAGCTGGGACCACAGGCGCCCGCCACAACACCTGGCTATTTTTTGGTTGCAGCCATCATTGTTGTTTGGCAGGCCCAGGCTGGATTCAAACCCACCACCTTAGGTGTATGTGGCTGGCGCCTTAGCCACTTGAGCCACAGGCACTGAGCCATGATTCCTTTTCTATGACATTCCTTCAAAGATCACAGTAGAGAGAAAGAAATCAAATCAGTGGGCACCACCTGTGGCTCAAAAGAGTAGGGTGCCAGCCCCATATACCAGAAGTGGTGGGTTCAAACCTGGCCCTGGCCAAAAACTGCAAAAAAAGAAAAAAGAAATCAAATCAGTGGTTCCCAGGTTGCTTCTGGTAGGAGAAGGGAAGGATCATGGGAAGTTTTATTGGGCGATGGACCTGCTCTGCATCTTCATCCTGGTGATGGTTACATGACTATGCATCTGCCATAACTTTCAGAACTGTACTTTATAAGGTATGCACTTGATAGTATATAAATGATATGCTAATAACAAACTGAAAGACAAAATTGACCACTTAAAGCAAAAATAGCAACGGGTTATTTTACAGTTAAAAGTTTATAACTAAGTTATCAATACAATACATGAAAACAGTAGTACAAAGGAAATGGGTGAGTGAAAACAGTATATGGTTTTAACATTCCTCTACGTGCTTTTGGTGGCATATCTAAGAAACCATCGTCTAACCCAAGGTCATGAAGATTTATTACAATATTTTCTTCTAAGTGTTTTACAGCTTTAGCTCGTACAGTTAGGTATTTGATACATGTTGAGATAAATTTTTGTGTATGGTGCAAGGAAGGGGTCCAGCTTCATTCCTTGGCATCAGGATATTCAGATGTTGTTGAAGGCTGTTCTGTTCTCCATTGAACTGTCTTAGTGCTCATCTCTAAAATCGCTGGCCGGCTGAGTATAAGGGTTTGTTTCTGGACTCTCAATTCCATTCCCTATGCCACAAGCATGGTTTTCATTACTATAGCTTTATAGTAAGTTTTGAAGGCAGAAGTGTGAGTCCTCCAGCCTTGTTCTTTTTGAAGTTTTGGCTAGTCCTGGGTTCTTCTTGAATTTCCACATACATTTTAGAATCTGTTTGTCAATTTCTGTATTAAGCTCACCCCCCTCCTCCCAAAAAAAGCCAGCTGGCATTTTGATAAGGACTCTATGGAACCTTTTGATTAGTTCAGGGAATATATATTTTTATTTTATTTTTATTTTTTGAGACAGTCTCAAGCTGTCCCCCTGGGATGAGTGCTGTGGTGTCATACCTAACAGCAACCTCCAACTCTTGGACTCAAGCGATCCTCTTGCCTCAATTATTCTATTTTTAGTAGAGACAGGGTCTCACTTTTTGCTCAGGTTTGTCTCGAACTTGTGAGTTCAAGGGATCCATCCATCTCAGCCTCCCAGAGTGTTAGTATTACAGGTGTGAGCCACTGTACCCAGTCTAGAAATTTTAATTATTTAAAAAAAATTTTTTTTTGAGACAAGAGTCTCACTCTTGTCCTCCTTGGGTAGTATGCTGGGGTGTCATAGCTCACAGCAATCTCAAACTCTTGGGCTTAAGCCATCCTCTTGCCTCAGCCTCCTAGTAGCTAGGACTATAAGGCATGTACCACCATGCCCAGCCAGTTTTTCTATTTGTGTGTGTGTGTGTTTTTGAGACAGAGTCTCCCTACGTCATACTTGGTAGAGTGTCATGGCATCACAGCTCACAGCAACCTCAAACTCTTAGGCTTGATTCTCTTGGCTCAGCCTCCCAAGTAGCTGGAACTACAAGCACCTGCCACAACACCTGGCTATTTTTTTGTTGTGGTTGTCGCTGTTGTTTGGCAGGCCCCAGGCCGGGTTCTAACCCTCCAGCCCCAGTTTATGCCGCTGGTGCCCTAGCCGCTGAGCTACAGGCCCCGAGCCAGTTTTTAGTCGAGACAGGGTCTCACTTTTGCTCAGCCTGGTCTAGAAATCCTGAGCTCCAGCAATCTGTCCACCTCGGCCTCCCAGAGTGCTAAGATTACAAGCGTGAGCCACCATGCCCAGCTGGAAGTTAATAATGTTCAGCAATTCAGTTTTAGTGTGGTTTTTTGCATGAAGATAAATGACAGGCCACTCTGTAAGGGGAAGCAACTATTTTGTAATGGATAAAGGAAGGTGACTTCTTTCAATAAATATAAATTTATTTGTGGGGTATCTCCCTCTAGAGAGCAAATGGAACTTTTCCTAGAACAGTCATTTGATCAGTGTGGGGTTGTCCGGATTCCCAGGTTGGGCCCTTTCATCACAACAGACTGCTTCCCACACTGCTGCATCTGCCTTGTGCCCTTCCCGGCCCGCACCAACTCCCCAATGTGCTACCCAAGACTGAGGGGATTTTGCTGCACTGGAAAAGGTCAAACAGCATTGAGTGGACCTGGAATTGTTTTTTCTCCTACACTTTTTTTTTTTTTCCCCACAGAATGAGTCTTATTAGTCACCCTTAGTAGAATGCCCTACATCACAGCTCACAGCAACCTCAAACTCTTGGGCTCAAGAGATTCTCTTGTCGCAGCCTCCTGAGTAGCTGGGACTAAGAGCCTACCACAATGCCAGGCTATTTTCAGAGATGAGGTCTTGCTCTTGCTCAGGTTGGTCTCAAACCTGTGAGCTCAGGCAATCCACCTGCTTCGGACTCCCAGAATGCTGGGATTACAGGCGTTAGCCACCATGCCCGGCCCTCTCCTACAGTCTTGAGTGCCTCCAGTTTGGAATAGGAGTTTGTACAGGGAAATGGGGGCCCCCAACAAAAAGAGGCCCAGAGTCAAGGTCAAGAATCTTAAAGATAAAATATCAGAAGGCTTTAGCTAAGACAAAAGGAAAGCCACTGTTGAGATTCAGCATGTTAAAAATGGTTCCAGGGCGGCGCCTGTACCTCAAAGGAGTAGGGTGCCGGCTCCATATGCCAGAGGTGGCAGGTTCAAACCCAGCCCCGGCCAAAAGAAAAAAGGTCCCAGATCCCAGGAAGTGTTAATCTTCTTCTCAGGGACTTTACTGGTAGTGCCTGCTCAAATTCTTCCATTTTAAAGTGTTGAGTAAGCAATTCTGAACTCAAGAAAATCTCCAGGTGTGCAGTTTTCTTTTGTTCTACTATGTGTAGAAGAGTGAGAGGTACCTGCAGCCCCATGGTGCAGTGGTCAGGAGGGTATTCAGAACTAGGACCCAGGAGACCCTGGAGAGAACAGTATGCTCCTCAGACGCCCCCTCCCCCCACTACTTTCACCATGTGAAGACTCCAGCCCATGGGTCAGCCCCTTTTTCCCAGTCTACAGGTAGGATGTAAAACAAGTTGCATGACAGGAGATGAGTCT